GTGAGGTGGCCCACAAACTCATTACTGTCTTTCCACAGGCAGCTTAGACCCGAGCCTGGCTCCGCACCATGAGGCCCAGGCCAGATCCTGAGCCTTCCCTGCTAGTGATGAGAGAGAGAGAGAGAGAGAGAGAGAGAGAGAGAGAGAGAGAGAGAGAGCCTGCACCCGCTCCTTGCTCTGGCCCCTCCTCTAGGCACCAGTTTCCTGGCTGCTCAGGCCTTGAGCTACGCCTGGATCCAGAGAGACACAACAAAGTGACAGCTGAAAAAAGCTGCTCTGCTTGGAAGCGGTCCCTGGTCAAGGTGAAGGGCAGCCTGGTGCTGCCAGATGCTGCTGGGAGGCTCAGGCACACCCCCCTCTTTCCTTCCACACCCTGGGCAGCACAGACTCTCATTCACACAGATAGGCTGTAGCCACGTGAATGTCATGTTCGGTGCTGGGGAAATGGCAGAGTCCCCTTCCCCCACAGCAGGAACAACAGGCCGCAGTTAGGGCCTTGTCTCTGCTCCAGCAGCTGAGGTCCCAGGGGGACCTCCAGAGGGCAGGGCTGGGGAAACAGCGAGGCCCTGGCTGGGCAGTCAGCCACCCTTTGTCCCAACGGCACTTTTAAAATGGTGTGTTGGCCTGGTCTTTGGGGTAATGGGGATACCGAACTTCTTCATGACCAGCTTGGGCCGACATAGCTAATTGGCTCAGACAAAGATCAGTGTTGCCATGCCTGGGCCTGGTGGCGACATGGAGAGAGCCTGATGTCCATCAGGGAGGAAGGACATAGGGGCTGGCAGAGGTGTGGCTGGAGCTCCTGCGCTCCAGCTGCCCTCACCCCTGACTGAACAAGAGGACGAGGCCGCAGCTGAGGAACATGGTTTCCTCCTGAGCCTCCCCTGGGAGGTGAGGAGAAAGTCTTCAAGTAGAAGACAGTGCAGATCAGGTAAAAATACACAGGAAAATAGGTGAAAGTGTTCCAAGCCTTGGATTATAGCAAAGAATGGATGTCTTCCTCCTCACTCAGACTTCAGTTGCTCCAAAATCCTACTGATCCCCCAAATCGGGGGCTCTGGCCCACGATTTTCTTGAGCTGCAGACTCATTTGTCCATCCGCCGCCTGGACCTCTCCACATGGTGCCTCAGGCAAGGACGCCTGACTGGTGCAGTCCTCCAGCTCGGACATGCAGGTTCGCTATCCTTCCTGCTTAAATGCCAGCTGCCTGGGAGATGGTGTAAACGCTTAGGACAGCGTCCAAGCCTCCCCTCCCAGCCTCTCATGTGTCCACACGCCGACCCGAGGGCACACGCCTGGTCCTTCTCTGACCGCCTGTGCTTCGTGCCCCTTGGCTGCTTGCGCCCGGATTCCGCGCTGCGGCGGAATTCCTCCCCCACTGGCGGTGAGCCCCTCAGGGTGCTGACGGAGCCGACCTGGGAGCCTTTCCTGGGCCGGCAAGTCACGCACTGCATCTGGACGCCCGCCACGACCCTGTGAGGCAAGTCCTCTTTTCACTCAGGAAACAGAAGCTCAGTGATTCTCAAGATGAAACACCGGTAGTGGAGCTGGGATTAAGACCAGTTGTGGCCATCCCCAAAGTTCCTGTGGTTCTATTGACTGCCCAAACCTCTCATGTCATTTTAAAGGTAAAAACAGGGCCAGCCCGAGTGGCACGTTGATTAAGAGTTGGCTTGGGACGCCAGCTCTGAACATCAGGGCTCCGGTTGGGATCCCACATGAGGGCCAGTGGCGCTGCGCCCTCTACAGCTAAGATGGTGAACAACAGCTCCACCTGGAGCTGGGCTCCCATGAGTCGCCCATAAATGGTGTAGGCAGCAGTGGGGCGGGCCAGCAGCTGGCATGTGCTTTCCTGAGCTGCCATGAGCGATCGTCCAATGGCCAGTGAGCGACTGCCTCACCCGGGAGGAGCGCAATGATAATACCAACAGGGGCCAGTGAAGCGACATCCTCCACAACTAGACTGAAGAACAGCAACTTGTGTGTTCCCCTTCCCTGATTCCCCAACGCAGTTCCCCTCCCCTCCCCCAATTCCCCAATAAAACCTTTAAAAATAAAAATAAAAATAAAGGGAAAACCAGAGGTCTTCACGAGGGGAAGGCCATTCAGACGCTGTGGACGCAGTTCTCGAACAGAACAGAAGTGGTGGCTTTGTGATGTGTGGATTTAGCTAATCTGGAACACCTTTCCAGAATTAATGAACATGGGCTGGTTTTTCATGAGAAAATTGTCAGAGTTGCAAGCGGAAGTGAAGCGGCAGCCACGTTGTTACAGACCTGCTGGCTCACCCTACTGCAGGGGAGCCCCCCTGTACCTCGTCCTTTAGTGTCTCCTAACCTGCCCTGGGCCTGGGGTGCTCCCGGGTGAATGGTGCTGCCCAGGGGCCACATCCTGGAAGGTGGAGTGCAGCGAGGGTTGAAGACATCTCCATGGATTCCAGCTCTTCCTCCTGGGCTCCCACTTCACGTCTGTCTTCCCTTCCCTGCTGACTCAGGCCCAGGGCCTGGAGCTTCTAAGGTCCCTTACCCAGCTCCCAGGCACTCAAAGTCTCACCCCTCTGGTAACCCTCGTGTGTCGCTCTGTGGTTCTATTCCTGGTCAACCCCTAAAGGGCATGGAAAATGGGTTCAGTGGGTGTTGGATTAAATGAGTAAACAAGTGTTTGAATAAATATTTTGGTTGCTTTACGCTTTAAATTTCAGAAGAGCTGAACTAGGGGAAACTCATTCTTTTTCAACCTTCCCTGAAGACAAATTAATGGGTATTACAACATGTTCTCCCAAAAGGCCTCTATGTTCATAGCTTTTTAAAGTAACAAAATGGCTCACTGTGCAGTGATTAAATTGCAATCAATATGAACTGACTGATGGTAGAGTTGTGACTTTTTATGTGGCTCTGTGACTTATTTGAAGGAATTGGTAATTGCACACCCTACTCCCTGGGAGGCAGCGATGATGGCCAGGCGATGCCCACAGGATAGGAGGGACCTCCTTTGGAACTTGTGACTCGTGGTAGCCCCGTGTGCTGGACCACTGAGGAATGTGAAACGCATGAATGGCTGGCTGGGCAGCAACCACTCCTATCAGCAAATCTAAGCTAATATTATGCCCAACTGAAAAGGAAAGCAAAAAAACCCAACCAAACAAACAAACAAAAAAACCAGAAACAGGCGCAGAACTGCAGTCTGAAATTAATACCTGTGTAGTCAAGGGATTGCTCAAGGTGACAGAGAAATTCAAGGCTGAATTCCGTGTCCTGCACATAGGTCTAATTTGAGCTCCCAACAAAGGTATCCCTTTAAGAGAATCTAGTTTTCGAACTCTTCCCATTGAGTTACCCTTTAGCACGGGATTCCAGGATTCCCTTTCTGCCTTGGCGACCATGATGAAGGAAGTGTCTGTCTCTGGGTCGGAGAGCAGGGGCCTGGACATGCAGCCTGGTTAAAGATATGAACTTTGGGATCAGACCTGGCCCTAAATCCTGCTTCTGCTGCCAAATGTTTGATCTGGAGCAAGTTACTCCTCTTTCTGTGATTCAAGGTTCTCCTCCATAAGTGGAGACTGACACAATGGAATGGGGTGTCCGTAGAGGCCTAGTACAGGCCAGGCTTATTCTTTTACTTTGCTTTCATTACAGTAGTTGCATAATAGCACTTTCCATATTTCAAAACAATTATTTTGTTTACATCCATCTCTAATCTTTTCAATTTTCTTAAGAAGACCAAGTCTAGCTTTTCAAGGTCTCTTTATATGTTTCAGTCCTTTACCTAGCTATAGGCCCTCACTACAATATCCAAATCCTTCCTGAAAGAACAAGGATGAAAAGGTGGTGATTATTCATGCCATATGTACAGTGGTCTTTTGGATAAAACAGAAGAAAACAAGTAAAAGATATAAAAACCTTAATTTCTTCTAATATATTATAGTAGACTAGAAAGATCTGTAAATATATTTTGAAACAACTATCTTTTCATATTAAAAAAAATTCTAATAATTTTTGTATTTCCTTTTCCTTCACATTGTTACAATCACTTTCAGGTCTTATGAAATTTCCAGACTGCACACTGGCTCAAAGCAGCCGTGTCTCATACAGAGTCCACTTCGGCTAGTGACAGAGGCTTTGAAAAGCTCCCCTTTCCCTCCCCAGCAGCTATGTCACCCCGGAGCCCTTCAAGGATGCAAACCCCTGGGGGCTGGCAGTCAAGAACAGTTGGACAAGGGCTGTGTGCCACTGGCCTTTTCTCCAAAGGTAGTCCTAACGTCTGCGCAGATTCCTGACTTTAGCCAAGAGCCTCGTCCAAGAACAGTATGATCTCAATTCCTGCTGGCTTCACATTAGGACCTTAACCCCCAGGAGCCTTCCTGGCTGCAGGCGGGGAGGGCACAAAATAGTTCCACACCCTAGACCTTCCCTGGTTCACAGCCTTGAAGAAAGAAGACGAGCAGGGGTTTGGCCTCAGCCACTGTGGGTTTGTATCCCAGGTCAAGCCCATGCTGTCTGGGATCACTGAGCTGCTCCGGGCCTCAGTTTCCTCAAGCGTAAAAAGGGAATGACTCTGGCTGTCATGAAGCATCCATGATGTGATGTGTATTTAGTGCCTGGCAGGTGGCGCTCAGTCAGTCGCAGTTGCATCAGTGGCATGATGCTGACAATGGAGCACACAAGACCGTGTGGGGCCTGAACACCCACGAGCAGCTGCCTGCACTCTGCCTGGGGCTTTCCCCGCTGGGAGTGGTGACAAGAACACACACACAGGACACGCAGAGGAATGAAAGCAACCACAGAGCATGTGGCACCTTTTTATTTAGTCAGTATTTATTTATTTTATTTATTTATTTTAAGCGGAGCCCTCCTGCCACCTGTTGGCAGCTCAGCAGCTGCTTAGCTCGGGCCGGGAATCGAACCGCTGTTGCTCAGAGCTCGCACTATTGAGCGAGCTCTTAACCAACTGAGCCACTCGGCCGGCCCTAGTCAGTCTTTATTTTAAATGTGTGCTTTTGAAATAGCTTATTAAATATGACCTTTTCAAAATTCAATTCTCACAATATTTACAGTGAATTTTGTGCAAACATATTTTGACTATGAGCTTCTTGCTCCCTTGCTAATGTTAATAATTTACAAATTTGTATTACAACAAAACCCCAGTCACTTCATTTATTGCCTCTTAAGACTCTAGTTTTGTTTGACAGGGACTAAACTAGGATAAGGGGTTGCTAGGAAAGAGCTCATTCAAGCCCAGAGGAAATAAAATGTTTTATTTATCAAAAAAAGATTATACCAAGGCCTTGCTTTCCAACTGAAAACACATGTCCCATGATGTGGTCAGACAGTATTTAAGCAAATAGATACATTTCCACTGGTTATTGTGCCTTTAAAAAAATATTTACACTCATCTTTTAATCATATAAGCAAAACCAGAAAATCAAATTCTCAGACTCTAGACTGTCGGGGAATGTTATAAAAGTAATCAGACTTCAGTGATTAAAGAATGAAGGTCATCAGATGGGCTGCCGCTGACCCTCCCACGCTGCCCTTGGCCGGAGCTGCTGCAACAAGGTCCCACAGGTCCCACACCATCTGCCTCAGGGTTCCACGCTGGGCACAGAAGAACATGAGCCTGTGCCCCGGCCAGCAGGGTGAAACCCTGCCAGGTAATCTTCAGATGCGAAACCTACAGAGGGCACTGATCCTGGAGAAGGATCCTTGGAGGGGGCGCTTTCCCTCTCTGGGTGGATAAGCGTCTGGTTGAAGAAGACCGCACACAATATTGTAAGAAGTGAAGGTTCCCATGGAAGGCAGGAACTCATGATTTGGAAACAGAATTAGGAAAAAAATACAGGTTAACGATTGTTTCTTTAATGTCTTGGAAATATAGGTTTAAAATTCCATTTCATATACTTAATGTCTGAGAACAAATCACGACTTTTTTTTTCCTTTTTTTTTCTTTTGGTTCCATGCCAACACAAATTAACTTTTTAATCATCCTAGTATACAAGAGAGTCTTTGGGACCAATATTTTACAGGTTTTCAACCTTTTCACTGAAGACTTTGATGGGAAATTAGAGCAACAGCTTATGAGAAAATAAACTGAAAAAATTGTTTTTGATCATTTGACAGTTTTTCCATGCATTTAATCATGATTGCTCACCCAATGGCAACACTGCCTTATTTATAAAAGTGGTCTAAAGACCTGTGCAACCCTCTGGACTCATGGTTTTGTGCACGCTGGCATCACAGTGCAATGATTCCTACTCTAAAACACACTTTCACCACAAAACATTTTTCCCATAATAAGAATTATGAATGAAATATCCCAAACATTCACGAATGCTACAGAAGTCAGCGTGGAACAGCAGTGACTATAGCTAGAGCTGTGGTTCTTAACCATCTGCTCCAAGTTCTCAAGTGACCAGGTCATACCACACGGGTCCTCTGTGCCCTGTGCCGCTCAATCCATCCTATTTGTACTTGGTTAGTTCTGTGCTGTCCCCAGGGCAGGGTGCAGTGGCGGGGGGGGGGGGCGGTGCCAGGAGTCGGGCATGCTGAGGACAGGATGCGGGGCAGCGAGCAGAAAGGAGGGCTGTGCAGGACATCGGTTCCCTAAGTAGTCGGGAACCGTGAATTACAGTCAGAAGACATGGACAGGGGACAGGAGTATGTGACTACTGAAAACATGGATCTTATTTTCTCAGGTCTTTCAGTGCCTAAGAAATGTGTTTGTCTAAGTGCCTATAGGTAGAATAGCTTTGCGCCTTCTGCTGCCATGGCCGGCTCGCCTCTAAGAGTCAGCCCTCTTTGAGGACTCAGTGACCATCATTTGGGCTCCTCCTCAGGGGCTCCCAGCAACTGAGGGCTCAGATCTGCAAGCCCACGACCCTGCTGCCTTTCATCAACAAAGGGTTAAAATCGCTTTTATCAATGTCTAATACAATGGCTCTGATTTCACATAAATAATCACAGACTTGATTAAAATGAATATATTATTCTAGGTTAATTTTTTTCATTCAAATGTTTATAGTCCATCTACCCTGAACAATGAATTGAGAAAAAAATAGGTATCTCAAAAGCCTTCCCAAGAATGATTACTTTTTGAAATGACACTTTTTGTACAAGCTGAACAAATGAGACGGTGACTGTGGCAGGAAACTGGGTGAGACTTCACGGGGCTGTTTTCTTCAAGTCTCGAATCTGTTTAATCAAGTAGTTCTTCTCGTCGGTGAACTGCTCATCGTCCGTCCTTTCTTTTTGGAAGCTGCTCAGAAACTCAATGAGTTTGGGCTGATTTTTTAACAGAATCTCCACAATCGGCTGCGTTTTGTGAGGACTGGCCACAAACACCTGAAACACAAGGAAACAAATGCAGAGGACAAGGAATGCACACGGGGATGACACGGGTCCCACTTGAGTTTCACGAGGCGCTTGTGTTACTAAAATGTAGAAAGCCCAGATTGTGCTTCCTTATTGAGGAAAATCAGTAATTCCTCACTCATATCCGCTTTCTATATAGTACATAGAAATATATTTTATATATTTAAAGTTATAATATATAATTATATATTGAATATGTTCAATAGAATATATTTAACAGATTTAATATATTCATCTGGCTCAAAATTCAAAAAGGGCAAAGGTGAAAAGCCCCCCTCCCTGGAGGTCACCAATGTCACTGTTTCTTGTATATGTGGAGCTTTATCATTTACAGCTGCCCAGGCGCCCCAGCCCCTAGATTCTAACTCAGCAGATCTGGGCGAAAGGTCTGGCATTATATATTTTTATCAAGTTCCACAAAGATTCTTATGTGCACTCCTGGTTGAAACCATGATCCTGGACTAATAACTAATAATAGTTATACTATAAAAAACAGCTACAACTATAATAATAGGACACAATCACTCAAAACTATAATACTGATGGGCATAATATTTTGCAATGGATATATTTATAGTTCGATGCTACATATATGATTACATGACCAGAATACCCATAAAGGTACTGACGCCTGTGTAGCTCTCTGGTTTCACATCTGGGCACCTCACTCTTCAAAAAGGCTATTTCACCACCTGCCCCGCTGCCCACCGCCTCCACATCCTGTGCCTCCAACAGTGCACAACTCTGCTCTGAACACATTGGGAACAAAGATCAGTTATGGGGACAGTGGGGGTTCCAACTCAGCAAATGTGGGGAGGGAGAAAACTACACAAAGATGTTAAGAACCTATGAGAAGGGAATGGAAGGCTGCAGAGGTTCAAAGGTGGTGGAAAATATATTAGATTTTTGAATTTGGAAGAGAAAGGGCTCATGCTGTGGGTGACATGAGAGCTAGTCTATGAATCAGATTTTCTATTTCTTCTTGAGTCAGTTTGGTAATTTGTATTTCTTAAAGATTTGTCCATTTTGTCTAGGTTATCTAATTTGTTGATGTACAGTTATTCATAGTATCCTCTTATAATGTTTTTTTTATTTCTATAAGGAAATTGAATCGGTAATCAAGAACCTCCCAACAAAGAAAAGCCTAGGACTAGATGACTTCACTGGTAAATTCTACAAACTTTTAAAGAATTAACACCAATCCATTTTAAAATCTGAGAGACAGAGAGAGAGAGAGAGAGAGAGAGAGAGAGAGAGAGAGAAAGGGAACACTTCCTAACTCATTCCATGAGGCCAGCATAACCCTGATACCAAAGCCAGACAAAGGAAACTACAGACCAATATAATTTATGAATAAAGATGCAAAAATCCTCAATAAAATACAAGCAAACCGAGTCCTGCATCTTATGTATTAAAAGGAGTATATACCATGGCCAAGTGGGATTTATTCCAGAAACACAAGTTTGGCTCACCAGGATAAAATCAGCATAATGCACCACATGTACTGAATTGAATTGTGTCCCCTCAAAAGATGGATATTCAAGTCCTAACCCTTGGTACCTAAGAATGTGATGTTATTTAGAAATAGGGGTGTAATTAAATTAAGATGAGGTCATACTGGGTTAGGGTAGGCCCTAATTCAATGACTAGTATCCTTATAAAAAGAGGGAAATTTGGACACAGAGACACACAGGGATACACAGAGGAAATGCCATGTGGAGATGGAGACAGAGCTGGGAATTATGAATCTATAAGCCAAGGAATGCCAAGGATTGCTGGCAACCAGCAAAAGCTGGGAGAGAGGCATAGAACAGATTCTCCCTGAAAAACTCCAAAAGAAACCATCCCTGCTGACACCTTGATCTTGGACATCTAATCTCCAGAACTGTGAGAAAATAACTTTGTTGTTTTAAGCCACCCAGTCTATGGTACTAGCCCTAGCAAACTAATACGCCACATTAATACAATGAAAGAAAACCACATGATCATTTCACTTTATGCAGAAAAAGTATTTGACAAAATCCAACACCTTTCCCCTTTAATTAAAAAAAAAATCCAACACCTTTTCATGATAAAAACAAAAACAAAACAAAAATCACTCAATATGGGACAACTGGATATCCACATGCAAAAGAATGAAGTTGGGCTCTTACCTCACACCATAAATAAAAATTAACTCAAAATTGATCGAATATCTAAATATAAGTGCTAATACAACTTTTAGAGGAAAATATAGGGGTATCACTTAATGACCCTGGATCTTGCAATGTTTTTTAGCTATGACCAAACGCAAGAGAAATAAAAGAAAAAATACATAAACTGAACATCAAAGTTTAAAACTTTTGTGTTGTCACCGCCGGATTCTTAAGTGCCTTTGGGATCATCAGAGACAGATTAAATAATGTGAGGTGTTGACTAGAGTTCAGAATATAGCAAATCCATTAACAAAGCAATGGTGCTATACTGTTTAGAGCTACTGAGTTGAACGAAAGACTGCATTTCTCAGTTATTCTGCATAAGTGCGAGTTTACATATCACTGTAATAAGGGAGAGGGTGTCTGCTGGCAGACACATAGTTAAAGGGCTGCTCAGAAATAATTGTGTCTGGATTAACTCCCAGGGAAGTGGCAAGGTGCCATTTCAGTACCAAGAGGTGAATGTAACTTGCACTTTGAATGCTGTATTCAAGAACAAACGACTCTTGACTCTACAAATTAAACCATCCTGTTTTCTCGTCAAAATAAATAAGTAAAACTTTTGTGTATCAAGGGACACTATCAAGAGTCAAAAAACAACACTGAGAATGGGAGAAAGTATTTGTGGATTACATATGTAAGTGTCTAGTATCCAGAATACATAAAGAACTCTTACAACTCAACAACAAAAATACAAACAACCCTTTTAAAAAGGGGGCAAAGGACTTGAATAGACATTTCTCAAAGAAGATGTACAAGTGGCCAACTGCACATGAAAAAATGCTCAACATCATTAGTCATTAGTGAAATGCAAATCAAAACCACGAGATAACACTTCACCCCCACTAGGCCAGCTACAATTTTAAAAAATGACAATGACAAGCGTCGGTGAGGAAGGGGAAATCGGAACACTTGACATTGTTGGTGGGAATGTATGAAGGTGCAGCATCTATGTAAAACAGTTTGGCGGTACTTCAACAAGTTACACACTGAATTAGCACAAAATGGAGTAATTCCATTCCTAGGTATATACCAAAAGAATTGAAAACATTTGTTCAAACAAGAAGTTGTACATGAAGGTTCATAGCAGCACTACTCACAATAGCCCAAAGTCCATCAACAGATGAACGGATAAACAAATTGCGATGTAGCCATACAATGAAATATTATGCGACCATAAAAAGGAATGAAATACTGCTCATGCTACAACATGGGTGAACCATGAAAACATTATGATAATGAAAGAAACCAGACACAAAACACCATATATTTTTGTATAATTCCATTTACATAAAGTATCTGGGATAGGCAAATTTGAGGCTGAAAGCAGATTAGTGGTTGCCAGGGGCTGAAGGTAAGGGAAAATGAGGAATAGTTGCTTAATAGGTACAGGGGTTCCTTTGGGGATGATGAAAATGTTCTGACTAGATACTGGTGATAGTTGCATAACACTGTAAATATATCAAATGTCACTGAATTGTACACGTTCAAATGGTGAATTTTGTTATATGAATTTTACTACAATAAACTAAAATTGATACTTATATTTAAAAAAGTAGTCCAGGCTCATTTACATTGTCACATGTAAATGAAGTTCATGTAACGCCTATTAGTATGTTAGGAAATCACATGCTGGAGACAAATGTGTGGCTCCTCTCGTCACCATTTGCTTACAACGGAGTTGCTGTGAAGTTTTAGCGAGAAATCTTCCGGCATTTTGTGGTAACTACATAAATAACCCATAACAGTCTTTCTTTCTTAAAAACGATTAAATATATTGGACAAACTAAGCTTCTTTGTTTCAATCTGAAATAAATGTAAAATGTCGTAGAATTTGCAGACAGGCATCATTGGATCAACTTCACTGAATCCATATACTGTACAATAGACCTAAAAACTGTTACATTTGTTTTCAAGTTTAATATTTTTCCTTATTTTTATTTTTTATGGCTCCCAAACTCTGCTGCCTCTAAAGGTAGTTGCTGATGAGAGACAACCAAGGTAATAAATGTACTGCATGGCTCGGAGGGCACTGGTCCAGGCTTGAGATGAACATTTCATAAGGAATGCACTTCTAAACCAACGTCCGCAGAACCAAATCTTTTGACTGTGATGTCCAATGATGAGAGTTCCTTGGTTCTCTCTCTGCTGTACTCATGTTTTCAAATGCTATTTTCAAACCACCCCGAAACATGTTACACAAGTGAAACTATTTGTGACTTTTCTTTTTAGAATGCAGTCTTATTGTCTGTATTTCTTAATTGACACCTCTCAGAAATGTGATTTATGGAGAAAAGCAAGTATCAAGACCACAAATGCAAACTAAGAATATTTTGCTCTCTATTTTAAGCCTGAGTGCTTTTTATGGAAGTTACAAAGGCATATCTTACTCACATATTCATTCATTTCACTGAAGTTCTATTTTGCCAAGAGGGCTTTGCATGAAACCCAGCACTGGAAGGCTAGTCATCTGCTTGCTCCCCTTACTGTCCTGTCCGTGAGGCTGCAAAGCCTGGCCTGCTTTGTACATGGATTTGAAATTGGGGCTCCTCTTATAGTTACATGGAAGTTACACAATGCAAAATTTCATTCCGTGCGAGTGTATTCTAAAGGCTCACCATTCAAATGAATACAAATATGAGTGATACAATATTTATCGAATATTTTGACACTATTTAAAAGTAGCCGATGAAACATTAAGCTGATATAAACACATTTGCACTGTACTGTTAACGTTTTTAGAAAAATTATTATTAAATCAGCTCATAGATGATACCTAAATTCTCTAGGTCTCAATTGCTTTCTCTATCAATAGACAGGTTTGGTACATTGTGCCTAAAATAGTAGCCCCGCTAAAAAATGGGTCCTTAAGGAAGTGGTAATTCATGGTTAGGCTTTTACCAAATTAACCTGTAATTCTCCATTCTTCTCAACTGAGATGTTTCTTGTTCTGCATACTGTTTTTTTTTGTTGAAATGTCAAGCTGGCTTTTGAATTTTGGAATAAGGGTGGAGTTTCTTGTTTTCAAGAAGCTGCTGCTAGGATCTGAACGACTTAGCACTGGTCATCCCCAAGTTCCAGAAGCTCTGAGAGGTGAGCCAAAAGGCACAGACCACCCCCACCCCCACATGGTCTGGTGGGATGTGGCAACATCTCCTTTGCCATTGAGGAGGTTAACAGGGAAGTGAAAGAGAGGTCAGCTCATAGCTGATTTCTGCATTCATATTGGGCACATCTCTGGGAGATCCAGGATGACAGAGAGAAACTCTCCTAAGCCGAGTGTCTTAGAGCTACCTAGACTTCAGACTTTAATGCAACTCATTTTGCAAGTGAGGAAATGGATCCGGATGGATTTGCCCAAAGTCTACTGCTGGCAAATGAGCCAGAACAAAGACCCAGGTCTCCCGATTTCCATCCAGGTCTTGCCCACCACAGCACCCTGCTCGTCTGTAGTAGAAAGCATGTGAAATGGCATCTCATGACAGTCCTTGAACTCATCAGCAGGCTCACAAATTGAGACACTATCATCTGACAAAGATATTTTTAGTAATGTGTTCCACATTTTCTGCACCTTATTGAAGGTGCTTTGGGGAAAAAACTATTAATAAAGAACTGTGAAAAAACTCTAGGACTCAGCTGTTCCTTCTTCTAAATAACACAATATTATTTTTGGCAAGTAAACAATTCAGTTCATACTTCAGTGGAAGGAATATAGTTGGGGTACAGGGTAGGACCAGTTTATATACACATACAAGTAAACAAGTGGTCAACTATTTTTAAATGTACCAATTCTGTCCAATGATTAGATGATCCAAATTTTGATCTTCTCAGAGGACGGAAGTAGGTTATTTCTATTTTGCCATCCACTGAATTCTTCTATAATACTGCATTTTTGCGCAAAATTATATAAAGTTTGTTCTCATCTAGGATGAAATATTAAAGTTACGTGGGCACTGAATGACGTGACACATAGCTTTCCATAATCTCTTCAATCTAAAAGGTCTTAACAGCATCTATCATTTTATACAATATAGGCATTTTCCAGTCCTACAGCAGTCTATTTCATTCATCTAATTTGTGCTTATTTTTTTAATGAAATAATTCTAACACAGAGAAGAGCACAGGAATAACATATCAGGCTTCATGTTCCCCCCCATCAGCTCTATCAAAATCTAACATTTTTACCATACTTGCCTTGTGATTTCTTAATAAAACATTACAGATATAATTAAAAGCTATTGGACACTTCCTGATACCATTCTCTCCCGAGGTGACTGCTGTCCTGAATTTGGTATTTATCATTCCCATGCAGGTTTTTAGACTATAACTATATATATATGAATCTACACCTAGTATTTTTGCAGGGTTTCAAACTTTAAATAAATATCAGTTTTAATGTTTGTTTATCCCACTCAATGTTTCTGAGATTTATCTGCAGTGGTTCATATAACTCTATTAATTTTAACCCATTAATATATGCAATTGTATGACTATATCCCAATTTTTATTTCCCTTGTTTTCTTATGATGCCCATTTGTGTTTTTTTCTCATTTTATTCCATTCTAAATAATGTTGCAATAAACATTTTTGTGCATGATTCCTTATGCACGTGTGTAAGAGTGTCTCTAAGAAATTACCTAGAATGGAATTTCAGAGTTGAAAGGTATGCACACTTTCAATTCTTTATTTTGCTAAATTGTTTTCCAAAGTGGTTGTGTCAATTTACAGTGGATGAGAGTCCCCACAGCCCTCCAATCTCACCAGAATTTGATATTGTCGGGCTTAAACACTTTTGCCAATATGAAGAATGTGAAGTGATATTTTAGCTCATTGATATTTTAGTGACCATTTTCATGATTACTAGTAAGATGAACATCTTCACCTGTTTATTGGCCAGTCAGGTTTCCTCATCTGTAAATTACTATTAATAACTTGTATCCTTTGCCCATTTTCCACTGAATTGTTTGTCTGTTTTTTGATGATTTGTAAGTTATATGTGTCACATTCGATCCCGTCTTTTCACTTTGTTTATGATGTCTTTTTCGAGCAGAAGTTTTAAAATTTAAAGGGGTTCAAATTTATTCATATTTTCATTATGTTTTGAAAGAATTCCTTTTTTCTTAAAGGAATTCTTCCCCCTCCAACATCATAAAGACAATCTCTTTTTTTCATTTCTAAAAGTTAAAAAATTTTGCTTTTCAAGTGTAGAACTTTATCTAGAATTTATTTCCGAGCATAGTGGAAAATAGGGTTTTCTGTATGGATAATCCTCTAACTTAGAACCATTTATTAAATAGTTAACCCTTTCTTCACTGATATATAATCCCTCCACTATCAAATATCAAGTTTCATATTTGCAAAGGTTTATTTCTGGCCCTTTACTCTGTTTTGTTGTTCTATTTATCTATCTCTGTGCCAATACAATAGTGCCTACATTTATTACAAATCCATAATAAGTTTTAACATCTGGGAGGGAGGATTCCCCTGCCTGTATTTCTTCAAAATTGCCATAGATAATTCTAGGCCATTGCTCTGCCAAACAAATCTTAGAATCAGCTTGTCAAATTCCAGGAAAAGTCCTGCTGGGATTTTGAATGTAATTGAATGGGATTTATAAATTAATTTGGGATTTGAATTGCTCTAGTGGCTTTTTGAACAATAAAGAACTGGTGGCTAAAAGGTGGACTAAAATTTTTTTTACCTCTCAAAGCAACAGTTACATACCTTATAAACTGCCATGTCTCTCTCCATGTATACACTTATACATTCAATTACTAAATGTGCATTATAAAGACAAAAAAAAAAAGCCTGGAACCCTCTGAACCCTTAATTCTACTTTAGATATTTATCTCAAGAAAATAATCCCAAACCTGTAAGAAATTAGCTGGATACATAAAACGCTCATTGCAACATTACTCAAAGTAGGAAAAAATGGAAATAACCTAAATATAAATGACACAGAAATATTTAAGTAAATGAGAGTAAATATACCCAATGATAAACTATGATGCCAATAAAACTGCTGGCTCTAAAAATTACAATAATAACAACGAATGAGTGTTCAGTTACGGTACAGCATTAAGCAATACAATCAGGATATCAATTTTATATAAAATGTGAACACAGCTGTAGAAAAAAAACTTCAAATATGTGCACAGGAAAATAAAATTTACCAAAATCTTTACAGTAGTTTAGGAGTATAGGGTTACAGATTAGACTTCTCCCACCTCCCCTACCTAAAAAAAAAAATCTATTCTCTAAAGCTTCTAGGAGGCAATATTACTCTCCTATCAAAAAAAAAATATTAGAAAGAAAAAGCAGGTATTATAGGGGCTAGTTTTCTTTCACAGCATGTACAAAAATATTTCTGTATAGGTAACAACAGTGAGTAGGATCTAAGTGTTTTCTTCAGTTCTTCATTTAAGGTTCAAAGAAACAGGCCAGAAAGCAAAGCATTCAAATTTTGACACTCAGGGTTTGGGTTCTAGCTCAATCACTGATTATTTTAGTAACTTTTGGGAAACAGTATCCATTTACTTTCTCAGTGGAAAAAAAATGAAAATATTTAGAGATATGGATTAGCTAGCAAGCCCTTTCGAAACAAATGGGCATTCATTAAAAAAAACTCTAAAATTTCATCTAAGTCATGCAAAACAAAAAGACTGCCTATTGAATTTTCTTCTCAAATATAAAGGAGAGTAAAAAGTAGGGAATTTGCCATCTGACACTAGAAAACACACGCCCACTTTATTTCTGGAGCTTACACGTTACCTTAAAGACATGAAAGGCTTCAAACTGAATGTTGGGACTTTTATCTCGAAGGAGGTTCATCATCAGTTTGAGGTTCTCTGGCTTGCTGATGTACTTCGTCATAATGGCAAAGTTATGTCGGTCCAGGATCAGTTCCCCCAGCAGCTATAAAAAAAACCAACAAAAATCAAAGCTATACTCTGTCTGAGAGCCATCTTGTTCTCACTGAAAAACAAAATATAAATGTGAGTTAGGATTGGTGACATGAAAAAAAATTGAGAGTCCTTAACTGTATCTTAAGCATGAAAGCAGTAGCTATTATTATTTTAAGCTTTACACACAGTTTACTAACATCCATGCTTAATGCATTTCTGAATCATTTTATTTTGCAGCTTAAAAACGCTTTCTCTGTTGCTTTCATCAAGAGCTAGCCAGAAATGAATTTATTATTTTCATCATTTACTTTACTTGCTTCCCAACAATGCATTGCTCCTTAGGTAGTTGAGATAGGATAAGAATGACAAAATTGTCTCTATAATTATATTTCCCTTACCTAAATAAATGTACTCTAGTAGTTTACTGATTAAAAAAAAAAAAGGTGATGTTAAGTGACTCTTACCTTTTCCCTAACTTTTATTACAAAAACTGATATATAACCAGAAAAACAAAATCACTGACCCCCAAATCCATATGAAGTTTAACATGTTCAGCGAGTTTTTATAAAAAAGTAAAGCGAAATATTTTCTGGTGACAAATTAATAATAGTTCCCCAAATGCAGCATTACTCCATGTTATGAACTGAATGTTTATGTCCCGCAAAATCTGTATGTTGAAATCCTAACCCCCAGTGTGATGGTATTAGGAGGTGGGGTTTGGGGGAGGTTATGAAGTGAGGGTGGAGCCCCCATGAATGGGATTGGTGCTCTTATAAAAGACCACAGAGAACTCTCTCACTGCTGGCACATTGATCTTGGACTTTCCAGTCTCCAAAACTAAGAGAAATAAATATTTGTTGTTTAAGCCACTCAGTATGTGGTATTTTTGTTATATCAGAACAGACTAAGACACTTCAACACAAGATAAAACTACTAAAAGTGAGAATGGTTGAAGACCCTCGAGCAGCACAGCTGAATGTACTGTGTGGCTCTATCTCGTAAACTTCTATTCTCACTGTAGTGGTAGCAATTCCTAAAGCTTCAGCAACCAGGTGGCTGAAATGTACCCTTAACATAATTTTACATGTGATATACTTATTTTTCAGTTCTCCTATTTATTGAAAATTTTCTGGATGCCTCAGGACAGTAACACATTGCACAGATGGTTACAGAAATTCTGCATGGGATGACAAAGTGCATGAAACTGAGGTCTAGCTGCCTATCACAAGAGTCTAGCAACAGAACCCCGAGTGTGTGTGTGTGTGTGTGTGTGTGTGTGTGTGTGTGTGTGTGTTTAGGGCTGCCAGTAAACAACAACCTTGCCTGTGATGCATCTTTTGTCTATTTAACAAATAAGAGTACACACTTTAAAGGTATTTTAGTGAACAAAAATAATGTTTGTTAAACATAAAACAATGACGACCACGGTTGGATATTAGCTGGTCACCAGTTAGTCTCACACATATGGAATACAATCATGTAAACTGTTGCTCTTCATCTTTATCTCCCTGCAGCACCTAAAGCTAACTGAACACCCTTCTGTTAGCTTTAGGAAAACTGAACAGTTTTCCAAGCTGTGTATTTGAATCTTTTATCTCCCAACAGTCTCATCTCTGCCCATGGCTTCAAATATAACATCTGGGAAGGTGTCTCTCAAATCTACATTTCTAGTCTCAACTTCTTTCCTAAACTCCATACCCACATTTCTAACTGCCCACCACGCCGCCTGAGTTGAACACTTTACTAGCTTATTACATGCAAAGTCTCTAAAACCAGTTCCCCCTTTTCTCTTTGTTCATGACAGGACAGTCTGCCAGTCCCTTAGACAGACAGTTGCAGTCTTCCTCAGCTCCTTTCTTTCCCTTGATCCTCACATCAATTCCACATTTCAGATCTGCCAATTTTCTGTTTTTAAAGGTCTCAGACATCTTTCACTCCATTTTTACCACCAGTACTCTCATCAAAACCCTCACTGCTTTTCATCTGGATGTCGGCAACAGCGCACAAGTGGTCTCCTCGGTGGTCTTCACCCAGCCCAATCCATTCTTCACATCAGGTCAAATGAATCTTCCTGAAGTTCAGCCCTCTTCATGTTACTAATTCCACTTATAAAGGGAATGAATAAGCACACAAACGAGTAAGTTCCTGTGGCTGGCACTCAAAGCACTCTGTGATGGAGTCGTTCCTACTGCTTCCTTTCCTCGGCGCCCTCCCTCAGTCTTCCACATTCTCTGGGCTCTGTGGCTTTATTCCCTTGCTCCAATCGTGTCCCCCACCCCCAGCTTTATTTAGATATAATTGACAAAACTGTATATACTTGAAGTGTACATCATGATGATTTGATATGTGATACATTGTGAAATATTTACCACCATCATGTTAATGAACACATCCATCACCTCACAGTTACCCACTCTTTTTTTTTTTTCTTTTTGGGTCTGTGGTGAGAAGGCTTAAGATCTACTCTCAGCATCTTTCGAGTTCACAATAAAGTATTATATAGTCACTATGCTGTACATTAGATCCTCCAAACTTGATTCATCTTATAGTTGAAAGTTTGTACCCACTGACCAATGTCTCCCCATTTCCCTATGGTAACCACCAGTCTACCTTCTGTTTCTATGAGTTGGCTGTTCTCCAGAGCTGAACCTATGGCCTCTGTGCTCTTTGTTTCCTCCCAGCTGTGCCCACGTTGCTTGCAGTACAGAGTTACCAGTAAGCCTTTTTAGAATGCGAGCTCCACAGGCCGTGTGTCAAATCTTGTTTGTGTTTATACCCTTTACAGCCTAACTTTGCGATGTGTGTGGATACTGCTGATAATAAAGTCCTACCAACATGGAATCCCCTCCAAAAAATGTTGAAAGAAAGTAGTTTTATTACTGAATAAGCATATCCAAAGCACAACACTGTAGGTAATCTACAAAAAAGACATTACAAAGACATGAACTTCCACCATATTAGACAGCCAAGGAACTACAATCCATTATATACACATACCTTTAAGACAAAAGGTAACCTGTGCCCTGTAAGGGGACCTGGCAGGCCATTTGCTGTGGACCCTTTCACAGTTCACCCTAAATTCGCCTGGCCATTGAGGTAGCCCTTTGTTTTAACTAACTGCCTTTATCCAACTACTAGAGGATAATAAAACTTCTTATCTCTCTCATAAGCAAATGGTTACAGTTTGGAGAGAAGCACCAAGGTTAAACTCCCCTGGTGACAGGGAGATAGGTGTGCTACCTTCCCAGATGTTTACATTTCAGTGGGATGGCTCCCAGACTCTCTCAAAAAACAAACAAATAAAGAAACACTTCTGAGGTGTAAAGCTGATAAGGGGCTGCTAAAAAAATATATCTATATATAGTTATAAAAATATATATGTATGAGTATATAAGATATATACCCACTTAATATATATATATATTTTTAATAAGGTTATTTATATCTATATAGATACAGCTTCTATATAGATATATATCTAAATATATAGATATATGAAAATACATAAAATCAAATACAATGTATTCCCTATATTATAAATACATATATATCATATACACATACACATATCCAAAGTCCTTTCAGCAACAAAGAAATTCCATTAAAAAAATTTACGCTTGGGCTGGCCAAGTTGGTTAAGAGCTCAGTTGGTTAAGAGCTCACTCAAGAGTGCGAGCTCTGAGCAACAGGGTCGCTGGTTCGATTCCCACATGGCCCTGAGCTGAGCTGAGCTGCCACTGAGCTGCCAACAGGTGGCAGGATGGCTCAGCTAAAAAAACAAAAAAAAATGTACGCTTATAATTTGCACACACACAGACAACAGACATTTGCTGACATGACATTTATGAGTTAAATTCAGATTGTCACTTCAATTTTTATTACATGGGGATGTCTACATATAAATTCTATCCAACCCATATTTTGTTAATATAATTTCACTACTTTTCTGAAATAATCAATTATGTTAAATCATTTGGCCAACAACACTGAATGCTTAGGTATTAAATGTTAATCTATTTTCATTAATACTGACAATAACAAAATGATGCATTTCATTATAATGCAAGGCATTCTAAAACAATACTATACTAAATGGAAAAAACTGATTTTTACTTCTTTCCATTTTATTTATAGGCTTCATACTACACAGTAAAACTATGCACAGCAAGTAGGAATAATAAGTTTTTTAAAAACTTAGGGTTTTAATGAAACTGACCAGAGTCCACCCCACCCAAAAAAAAAATTCCACCAAGTTTCTTTTAAATTATAATCTTTCTTGCTAGTAATTCAATGTCAGACCTCTGAAGAAGATAAGAAATTCTTAAGCTCTGTCATATGAGGGAAAGGAATTTTTCTGTTAAATATTTTTTACTGACTCTAGCAATCTTCGCATCCCAAAATAGCTCAGGAGAATTTAGAATATGATTTTAAAAAGGCAGAAGGTAGCAGCTACTTTGGAATCAGAAAACAGCCTGGTGTGAGGAACCGAAGCGCCTCCACCTTCAAGCGGACCCTCCACGGTGACTGACGTCTGGGAGCCCGGCCCTTCCGCCTCGCAGGACTCAGGTAATTCTCTCCCCAGGCGGGGCCAGGCGCCCAGGCCCTCATGTTTGCCTCGCCTCGCCAGGGCACCAGAGCCTCCGGGCACCTGACGTCTTTGATCTTCCACACATTCTCCCTGCTTTTACTATAAAACAGAGTGGGGCAGGGATGTGGGGGGATCCATTTGTCTCGCTGCCGCCAGAGATCGCTTTGGGCAAGTAAGTTCCCTGCATAACCGATCGGGCAGTATTCTGTGGCCTATTGGTCCCTTGGGCATTGGGCGCTAGTTTGTATACACTGCCCTTTCACAAAACACCTATTTTAGGACAGTTTATTTATTTACAGAATACTGTAAGTAAATATGCTGTTGTAATAATTTAATCTCTCGTTTCCTAAAATTATGAAACATCTAGTATAAAATATTACAGAATCCTGAGTTATAAACAAGGTGATGTTAAAACAGAACATACTGCTACCACAGATCTAACTTCCTAAAGGAAGAACCAACAGAACACTAGCAGAGCTCTTCAAAACAATGCTTTTCTATTGAAGAAAAGAATAAACAATATTTAATGAGCTCTGTCCTTGAATAGAGTGACACAAGACCCTTCCAGCAATGTTTCTGTCTATAAGCTAGCATTCAAAGAAGCCACTCTTCAGTAACCATTTTAACAATTTCTGCATTCTCAGATATACTTTGTTTGCCTTTTACTAGTTTTTTTTCACTGTCCAGCCAGTGCTGGGTTTTACCATATTGTAAATCAAATATGTGCGAGACACTCAACTGTAAAGGATTTCAGGCAGGGATAGCAACCAATGTAGGATGTCTGGGTGGATTAATAAAGAAGAAGAAAGGGGGCTGGCCGAGTGGCTCAGCTGGTTAAGAGTTGACTTAAGAGCGCGAGCTCTGAGCAGCAGGGCTTCCAGTTTGATTCCCACATGGGCCAGTGACGCTGCGCCCAAGCTGAGCTGTTACTGAGCTGCCAACAGGTGGCAGGATGGCTCAGCTGGTGTAACAACAAGATTGCCTGTCCCATGGTGGGCTACTCCCGCCCGCTACTACTAAGATTGAACTTGGCACCTTGACCTAAGCTGCCGCCCGGATGGCTCAGTGGATACGGCGTGCGCTCTTAAAAACAAGGCTGCCGGGTTCAACTCTCACATGGGATGGTGGCTACACCCACCCGTAACTAAGACTGAACACAACAGATGGCGACTGGCGCCCTCCACAACGAAGATTGAAGAACAACAACTTGGCTGGTCTGCTTCCCCAATTCCTCAACATTGTTCCCCTCCCCCAATTCCCCAATAAAATTTTTTAAAAAAAGAGAAAGGGCCTTATGAATGAGCTGAGGCATCTGAAAATAAGTAGGAAACATAATCCGTTTGCAAAGGGAGTTGAGAGGAGAGTTGCGATACCAGATACAAACTCAGTTGCTCCTTGCCGGGCGTCACTGGGAACAGGGGTCTCTAGCTGGAAAGCCACGTGAACAGGGAGGCTGAGTAGTAGGGAGCCAGGTGCCAGCAAACAGCTCTTTGAAGTCTTCTCACTTCCCTCTGCTACCCACCCAATTCGTACGATATACTGTACCAATCACACATCCACTGGACCAACAGGCTTCTATTTTTAAATGCAAATGCATCCCGGTAGGAATAATTCTAATTCATACACTAGTCCCAACTATTTATTTACAGTTGTTTAACACCTTCCAGAGACAGAACTCTGGGGATGTTGAGGAATATTTATTTATAATTTTTTAAAAATTTTATTTAACAAACATATCGATTTCTTATGAGCTAGGCTCTGGTCTGACCACTTTACAAATATTAATGAGGAAACAGAACAAGGTGGGTCTGAAGTCACCTTGACAAGAAAACAAGACAATGGGCACATGGGTAGGCAGGGATGATAGGACAGTAAGAAATAAAATGCAGGAAGAAGAGCCAGAAGGGAGACGTCTGAATAAAAACTGTCAGCTTTATAACTTGGCCTAAGGCCCTACACATCTAGAGTCAGTTGATCACAGAAAACCTGGTCCCAAGTTCTTGTCACTGCTGAAAATGGTACAAGGATAAATTCTAAAGTGCACGATGCTTATCGTTTTTGATCCCAGTTTAATTGTCACCTTAGTTTGTAACAGTGGCTCTACTTTGGTTCAGTATCTGACATTCCCACTGAAAAGAGGGGGGAGGTGGAAAACTCACGAGCAATTTCCTCTATTCTAGCACTTCACAGCACGGTCAGCTCTGTTGACTGTCTCAATTTTCATTCCTTCCCAGGGCAACTATCTCTTATAATATAGATAAGCCCTGTTTCGGCTGCCCTTGAGGAGCCCTTTGCAAATAAGAAGTTCCATTCTTTAGATGCATGGCTATGGCCCTTATCTTCAGCTGCTTTGAACAAGCTTTCTGGACCTGGGCGAGCTCAGGCATTGATAGCCCTGCCTTTGCCTGGAGCGCGGTCTCATCACTCCGAGCTCCAGCAAGGAGAGCAGCGTAAGCATCTGTGGTATTTTTTCCTACATGGATCACCTTGTAAGGGTTTCCACACAAAGGGAAACTCAATAAAGGGTGCTGAATGACTGGCTGAAAATAGTACCCTGATCTCTTCATCAAAGGGTAAAGCTGGAGCAGTGAGGGCACAAATATAGGGAAAGCGGGTCATGGCCAGTGCAAAATCATGGGTAAAGTGAATTTACAAAAATGTGGTACAAATAGATTTAATTTATTGCGTTAGCTTAAAATTGTATCCAATATTTAGAAACAAATGCATTGTTCTATGAATGTCATCACTGCAACATGTAAAAATACGATGAGTGATATTTAATAAGCTCAAACATCATACAAATTGCTTGACAAAAACCAGCCAATTACATCATTACCTGCCGAAAACATTCTTTTGTATATCTGAGTAGGGTCTGAAGGGTAGAGATGCAGCTCTAGCCAACGTCCCACTCCCCCATAAGCTGTCCCTCCCACTCCTCCATAAGCTGGACAAATGGCTGCTTCCAGGCACCTTTGCACTGAGGGAAGGGAGGCCCCTCACAGACAGATGCACCCTTTCCCTGCAGGGCTCCCAGTCTCATGAGAGTGGCATTTCCACAAGCGTTTCATGGGAGATATAATCTCAAACTGCCAATGCCCTTTGGTTACACACGAACACACACACACACACACACACACACACACACACACGACAACCCCATTTCTGTGTACTTATCATGTACTTAATATTTACACTGTTATTTCTAAAAATATTTGAGGCAGGACACTTACATTGTTCTGCTACAAAGTATAGTAACATAAAACATTTTTCAAGTTACAAAGAAAAGGATACTTAACATTTTCTGTATTTACTTGTTTACTAACAGACCAATCCTTTATTAACAAGATATCAATTTACGGAGGAGACTTTAACGTACAGGAATTTGATATTACCTTTAAAGATTGTCTCTTAGTCACATAATTCTCAGACTGAAGCAATTTCTCATAGTCTTCAAAAATCTAATAAAAAGAAAACAAACATCAGACCGTAAAACCAGCAGTGATTTCTCTGCATCAGGTTTGCTTGCTCTCTTGCTTGGGAAGGCACCCCCGCCCCTCGCGCCCAGCGTGGCCCAGCTGCTGTGCGGGGCGTCCCCTCTGTGTGCTTAGCCCTTGGCTGAGCCACTGTCCCTGGGAGCCTTCCCTTTTCACCATCGTCCTTCCTACAGACACTGGGGGAGGTCACGTGACAGAAGAGACCTGCTTCTCTACTATATTTTAGTCTGCAAATTAGAAATAGAGTAGACAAATGGAGTAATTGAGTACTCACACTAAATCATTTTGAATAAAACATCTATTGAATTGTGCAACAACTCATTTTATGCCATTGTATAGAAATCTCTTTATGTAGCCTGGCTGGTGGCTATTCAGCTATGAATAATTTGAGAAAAGATGAAGTACATTTCACCTGGCAACTGATAAAGAATCAAACTGTCAAATTCACAGCATGAACAGGTAGAGGAATAGGGCGACTTTTGCCACATGCCAGCCATATGAACCCCAGCTGGCCCCTCTGGAGCACTTCTACTCTCCCCAGAAGCTGGGGGCCACTGGTGCTTGGGGACCCTATTTCCTAATGTGTCATCAGTCATCACTAAGGTCCTTTAGTACAACTCAGAGTGCCAGCAGCTGGGGAAGCTCGGCGTCCACCTGCCACCACGCGTGGACACACTCAGAGATCAGTAAGGTGGAAGGAGAAGACCCAGCAGAGAACCAAAAGCTAGACTGTTCAGGGGCTGAGGAGGGTGGAAAACAGCCCTGGTCTCTAAAGGACCAAGTGCAAGGTCTGTGTGCCCGTGTGTGACGAGGCCAAGCTGTGCATACGGATGATAATTACCAATAAAGAACTGAGACTGAAAAGTGAAAACAGAAACGTGTAGCTCCCATTAAAGTCCAGTGACTATGCTCTTTTCAATGAAGGACTTACTATTTATTCTAATTGCCATGAAATACAAGGAGGATTTTGTAGGTCATTAAATTTATCAGACAAATTTTGCGGTAAGTTTTAATTGTAACTATAAAATGCAAATACATGTATAAGATATGATTTGACTTCCCCAGCTGCCAGTTTCATTATTTTAGGGTCATATATCATGTGCTCCAGTTTCATGGTTTATTACTAAATATGAAACTCAAGAAGTATGAGATGTTTCAGGGAGTATGAGTTCTCAGAGCTAGTGGTCAGGTCAGGGCAGCTGGCTCAGTGTCTGTGAAACCACTAAATCACACAAGCAGTGACAACAGATACAAAGACAAATTTAGATAAATAAGGGATCAAAGAGAATGCGTGTATGGTCTCTCAAATTGCTGTGTGTTATCCTGACTTCAAAGCATTATTGCACAATAAATTTACCTCACTCAGTCTATAGAAAAGATTAGTGGATGATACTACAGGTTTTGTCAAAAGCTATCTTAGTCTTCTTTTATTTTCACTTATTATACATGTAACATCTAATGAGTCTTTAACAGTCCATCTAGCATCTACAGTTACTGAACAACCAAGCTATAATAACGGTTCATTTCCTAGATTCAAAAATATTCCATTTTCTTTTAATCTTGAAACTTTTGGACGCCTCTCTGGCAATTAGAATTATTCTTCCTTCATGTTTTACACTTAGATCAAAGTACTCCAAGAGATCTGATGAATAGTTTCTTGATAATTTTAGGATATGAAAATCACTTTGATTTTCATGATTATATTGCTAATTCTTAATCTTAAAAGGGGACTAGCAAACAATTTATGAATAAAACAGACATAGTTTAATTTCTGTGATTTGGGTGTGTGAAGATACAGAATACTGTTAGGTAGGATTCCATCTGTTTCTTTTTATCTTTTTGGTGGCTAACTAGAAATGTTTAAATTACAGAGTGGCTTGCATTATATTTCAACCAAACAGCACTGGTCTAGAGCATCTGAACCAACAATTGAACAAATCCTGTAAAGTTTTGCTTGCAGTTTTGTGCTATGTTTTACTTGAATCATGCTGTTTCTACTGCTTATACGTTTATCAAAAGCATAGCTGCTCTTGGATGGATCTGTTCGTTCAATATTCATTGAATACAACCAAATGTATGGCATTGAGTTAGGTATTAGGGATACAAGCAATAATGAGAAAAATTAATATGCAGAGCTTACCATGGTACTATCCTAAAAACTTTAAATCTTGTCAAATTCCTACCATAACCCTATGAGGTAGGTATTAATATCTTTATTTTGCAGTGGTATAGTAACTTACCCAGGGTCACACAATTACTAAGAGGCAGAGCTGGTCTTGAAGCCAAGCAAGCAGACTCTAAAGTCTGTACTGTACTCTGAACCCGTGTTCAACAGATGAACTTCCTGCCTCTCAGGGAGCTCAGGCACCAGCCAGGAAGATGCAGACACACCATGTAACACAATGTGCAAAATGAGAGAGAAAGGGGTGAGGGAGGGAGTGTGTGTGTGTGTGTGTGTGTGTGTGTGTGTGTGTGTGTGTGTGAGAGAGAGAGAGAGAGAGAGAGAGAGAGAGAGAGAGAAGGGGTGCGATTAGGGAAATCTTCCTAGAAGACTCACATTTCAGCAGAATCTCAGAAGGATGAACTGGATTCACCATTAGAGAAGGCAGAAATATTATTTTGGTATTTTTGCTAGAAAGTAAAATTAATTATCGACCAGGTAAAATGACTTATTTTAGTAAGGGTGGGGTGTTCTTCTATTTGGAAAAGCTACCTACTGCCTCTCAAGGACAACATGGATGCTCTGAAGACCAAAGTGAGCGGGTGCTCGTTGTTTCTTGGCGCTCCAGAGCACAACAACAGGAAGAGCTGTGAAAAACGAGAAAACCCTATCTCCTGCCAACCTCCATTTTCCACCAAGTTTCCTGATGAATTGGCTTTCAGGTAGTGGACAAACTGGGTGTATGACTGGTTTCTATTGTGGGTCATAAATGGGAGTGAGTGCTCACAGATCTAAGAGGGAGGGAGGAAGAGAAAGAGACAATGAGGTAAAGACTTAAAAATAACTTCTACTTACAGTGTCATAATTTTGTTCTAAGAAGTCTGCTACCAGCACTTTATGCCTGGTTAGTAAATCCTAGAGAAAGAACAGTCAAGTGAAACAATATTATTATAGCTAATAAATTTTACAAATTTGTCTTTTCCTTCTAAGATTTAATGTCTATTAATTTGAAACATAGAAAAGTTTCAGAAGAAAATTTTTGTTTACATCACAAAATTATTTCCATTCTTAGCTTAAGATGTGAAATATAAGTTTGTTTCATGTTCAAAACAAGTGTTTGTTTTAAATTCATATCATTGTTAGATTGCAGAAATAACTTAATTACTGAAACAAATGGCATTTTAGAGATGAGTTTATGGTATATTTTCTCAAACCATAACTCTACATTGTGCATATGATATAATATTCAAATAAAGTTTATGATGATCTTTAAAAATGTCACTAATAACTAATCATGTTTTAAAAAAAAGAATTCTGAATGAACTAAAACCATATCTCACGAGTTAACAGATTTTCAAGGATCTTAACCTTTAGTTGTTGTTTTTTTCTTAACCACTTTTAAAACAGGGGCCTAGGAGACTGGGAAGCACAGGAATGACATTTAACAGGGCCATCTCGGTATTGTCCTGCTCCGGGGTTAATGAGCTGTGAGGTGTTGTGCAGTTACTAAGTAGCACAATGCACCCTTTCAAAGTCAAAGACAAGCAGCCTGATCTTATTACAGACATAACTCTCAGAAAACTGGACGAAGGCATAAAGGAACGTTTGACTTTCTTCAAATCACACCTAAATCATATCCTTAATTCACCTTAATGTTGAAAGAAAACAAGCCTTACCTAATCCCTTTTAAATGCTTAGAGACTAAGTACCCTGTCTAGGTATTATGCAGAATTTAATTAAAAGCATTACAAGAATTTTAAAGTTTTCCAGAATAAATCCTTATATGTTAATACACATTTAATTAAAACTTCCTAAAAGCATATAGAAGACATACACATAACCTCAGAGAGAAAAAGAAAGCAGCAACAATGGTAAAACCTACCTATTTCTATTTTAATAAAAAATAAAATATGTAAAGCATTTTACACTATAATTATGAAGTTCAGAAACAATGAGACTGGCTATTAATTTCATTTCATATTATTATCACCACAACTTGATTGGCCATTGGGGTCGATCAGTGGAAATGTGGAACGTTTTCCCAGTAGAACAGTCAGTACCGTCCTGGAACTGGAATTTTAAAATGGAAAAACCCTCTACAGGGGTTCATTTCTCGCCTGTCTGAAGTCAAAATTCAAACTATTCCTCTATCAGGGGCTCCCTGAGAGAGTAAGGTAGCTCCACAGCATTCTATGGGGTCCCTAATCTTTTTCTAGGTGGATATTTGGGATACCTAGTTTTCAGACACCCCCTTCTCTAAGCTCCTTACCAGTTATCAGTGATTTTCTGAGCGGCCCCAGGTTGGAAAGAGGCTGTCTCCCGGGGCTACGGCAGACACCGTGAATTGCTGCCCCTGTGAGAGTTCTCCACCTGCTACCAGTCCTCAGCCTAAAAGTGAGGCCCATGCTCCCCCTCTGCAATTACAAGAGGTGCTCAAATTGGTTACCATCAGTGTCCAGACACTTCTGATTATGGCGAACTACTGCTTGAGTAATGTTGACCAAAGTATCCACTTGTATAATTTCTTTTGGTACCCCAGTACAAATGCAGCATTTATTATAGAGCATATAACTGAGTGGGAAAAAACTAGTTAGAATTTTACCCAAAAAGGACAAAGCAGAAAATTGCAAAGAAAAATACAGTTCAAAAAAAATTTTTTTAATTGGGGAATTAAGGGAGAGGAACAGTGTTGGGAAATTGGGGAGGGGGACCAGCCAGTTGCTGTTCTTCAATCTTAGTTGTGAAAGGTGCCAGTAGCCATCTGGCTGCCAGTCGACAGCTCGTAGCCTCTAACCTCAAGGTGCTGTTTTATAATCTTAGTTGTGGGTGGGCGTAGCCACCATCCCATGCAGGAGTCGAACCAGAGCCTTGTTGTTAAGAGCACATGTTCTATCCACTGAGCCATTGGGGCGGCAGCTCAGCTCAAGGTGCCGAGTTCAGTCTTACTTGTGGGTGGGCGTAACCCACCATCAAACAGGCAGTCTTGTTAGGAGCACATGCTCTCACCAGCTGAGCCATCCTGCCACCTGTTGACAGCTCAGCAGGCGCAGCTCGGGCACAGCGTCACTGGCCCATGTGGGAGTTGAACCGGCAGCCCTGTTGCTCAGAGCTCACGCTCTTAAGCTAATTCTTAACCAACTGAGCCATTTGGCCAGCGCTAAAGTTCAAATTTTAAAGAATTTAAAATTTAAAAAATTATTTGAAATAGTATATACTCTTTCATCCCCCCTCCTAACAATTCTGTTTTGCAGGACTAAATTTTGCATAGTCTAAGTATTATTCTTTTAAAAATCTGATATTGATATTTTAGTGAATTCTGCACAGCTGGGGAGAAACCGGGGTGGAGCGTACCAAGTACTTTACACACGCTACTTCTAATCTCCACGACAACTCCACAAAGCAGGAATTATTCTCTTCATCTCACAGATGAGGAAAATGAAACTCAAAGGTTAACTAACTTGCAAGGACACACAGCTGGTCAGGTGGGAGAGAGATGGGGTTGAAACCACATATGTGTTGATTCTTGGAGGGGGGATGAAAGAAATTGTGGTTGTGAGGAATCTCTTTTGGGCAAGGACGTCTGTAGACAATGCCATGACAAACACATAAATTAACAACATTGAAACATTAATGACTAAGCTGGGCAACAGTCATCTTTAAGTTTAAAACAAAAAAGGTTCATTTAAGAGGTTAAAAACAAAAGCCAAAACCAATATAAAAACCAAAACCAAACCCAAAGAACAAACAAAGCCCCTTGAAACCAGCTACTTTTAACAAATAGTGACTTAAGGTCATCATTATATTACTATATTAACCACAGCATTTTGAAAAAATACAGAAAACTGGCATTTCCAATATTGTTAGCATATTCGAAAACCTTTTTGGTTATTTAGATTTTTCAAGGACTTAAGCTCAATGGAAAATATGCTGAAATACAAACCAAAACATTAGAATTTATTTTTGTGATTCACTATGGTGCTAAAAATTAAACTGGGCTGAACATATGATAGCAAGACATTATCAAGTATAGTCTATTCTATCTAATGTTGAAAAAATCTTTGGGGAAATTTTCAAAAACGCACATTAATCTGTAGTTGCTTTTCCCTCCATTAAAATTTGTTCTATGTTTCTAATTATTTGTGAAGTCTTACTTATGTCTTTTTTTTTTTTAAGGAACTAACTTGTTTCCATGACAGCAAAGAGTCATCAAGTAGAAAAGTGGGGAAAATGGATCTACAGTATCTATTAGTAGAAGACATCTCCTTAGTAGTTTAGGCACAGACATTTTGCTAGAAAGGGACTCGTCCTTTGTGTTAAATGTCTGATGCACTAAGGTGTTGCTCACCATGGGCTCTAGATATACTCTTTTGGGGGGGTTCATCTGTAGCCACTGCACCATTTTTGTTTTGCCCGGTGAGACTGGGCGGCCTGTGAAATGGAAACGGCTCCTGGGTTTCCATGTCTGCTGCCCTCCCGCCCCTTCTCCTTAGAGTCTGGCCCCAGCCCTTTCCTCCCTTTCTTTTCCTTCCTTCCTCTCCCTCTTTGCTGTTCTTGCTAGTTTTCTTCTTCCTTTCTTTACATCTTTGTTTTCTTCATGCTCCTTAACTCCCCTTCTCTTTCTTTCCCTCCCCTTTCCCACCTATCCCAGACTTCCAGGCATGGGCTCTGCCTCTCCTTGTTTTCTCAGGGAGAATCTAGGGCGCAGGCAGGACTGGCTGGAGACATGTGGAAAACCTGAGCAGGCTGGTGGCCGTCCTCCCTTCAAAACCAAACTCTAGATTGGTTAATATTTTATTTCAGACTTGGCTCAAGTGTTAAGGGACAATGGCACCACAGCTCGTTTGCTCTACTGTCTCAGGCAATTCAGCTCTGGTCCCCAAATTGCACACTGTCATGAAAACAAAAGTACCACAGTAAGCTGTCATCCTCAAATAGGCGTCTCCCTGACAGTTCATGTCAATTCCATTTTCCACATCTCATGATATTTCTGGAGATATCTTGGTTCCCTTTATAGACTGTGTCGCAGGCAGCTACCCAGCCTTGCCTACTCCTTAGCTAGGCTATTTTCAGGGTCAAGTCCACGCACCAGTGTTCTCTGTTCTCAGTCACAGGAAGCCCCTCTTGCTGCCCAGCCTCCATGTGGACCCCACTACATCCCTTTCCATTCGCTAGGTTGCTTCCTCTCCTGAGGCCCCCTTCCTTCTGCTCCACTCTGATGTCTGCCCTTTCTTCAGTCTTTCTGCTCTGACGCTCTCTCACACCTCCTGCCACATGTGAGCTAATACACCTTTTCATAGATTTAAGGAGCTTTCTCAAAATAGGCTGAGTAAATTCCTAGTCTATAGACTTTCACCTTTCTCTATCTCTGGAGAACTATTAAAAAAAACTATTTATCATCTAGGTGAACTTTTAAATCATTTACATACAGTAATATGATTAAAGTATATATTAATAGTAGTATATGAATGATGTCAATATTGTTGAAATACGTATTTATAGAATATATAAAAAATTAAAAGTCATACATGGATTACAATTAGGTAAAATACTAGGGGTGCCAAAAAATGTATATAAGTGGACACTTTGGTCAATGTTGCTCAAGCAGTAGTTCGCCGTAATCAGAAGTGTCTGGACGCTGATGGTAACCATTTTGAGCACCTCTTGTAATTGCAGAAGTCAAATGTGACTTGCTTTCATCTTTTGTTATCAGTATATATTATTATAATTTTTATACAGTTTTCCTTTCTTAAAATGTGTATACATTTTTTTGGCACCCTCATTTTTTTGGCACCCTCTGTATATTATTTATATCCTAAAAAAAGTAGAAGTAAATTTGGAATTTACTTCTAAATTGTTTTACTTCTAAGTTGTTTTACTTCTAAAACAACTAAATTGCTGAAATCTTTTTTAAAGAAACAAATCTGAATATATACATTTAAATGAGTCATGTCTATTTTATTTTATTTTATTTATTTTATTTTTTAAAGATTTTTATTGGGGAATTGGGGGATGGGAACAGCGCTGAGGAATTGGGGGAAGGGGAACAGACAAGTTGCTGTCCTTTTGTTCTTCAGTCTAGTGTGGAGGACGTTGCTTCACTGGCCCAAGTTGGCACCATCATTGTGCTCTTCCCCGGATGAGGCAGATCTGTCAACGGCTTCTGGATGGCCGCTCATGGTGGCTCTGGCTACACACAGTAGCCCATGGCAACCCACTGCCGCAGGGGCTGCAGCCTATGCCATCACCAGCGACTCACAGCAGCCCAGCTCCAGGTCGAGCTGTTGTTCAGCATCTTAGCTGTAGAGGGCAGTGTCACTGGCCCTCATATGTGGCATCCGAACCGGGGCCCTCTGGCGTCCCAAGCCAGCTCTTAACCAACGTGCCACTCGGCCGGCCCGAGTCATGTCTATTTTATAACAGACTTGAAAACCTATTTTTTTTCAATGATGCTATTATATCATCAGTTAAAATGTTTTTGAAATTCCTTTTCTAAAATGGCCTTCAGAGCCAATTTTGTAGACACTGAAGAAAATCAGTCTCTATTTTATTTATTTATTTTAAAATTTATTTGACTTTATAAACATTTTATTCTTCTATTCTATTCTATTCTATTCTATTCTATTCTATTCTATATTACTAAAACTAAACAAAAACAGTTCTAGCTAATTTGATTGCTCACTTTATCCACTAACCTGGATGTCAAATAGCTGTTTGCTATTTCCAAAACTTTCACCTGCTCTCAAAGGAGGAAGATTTGCCATTATTGAAAAATGAATTTGCCACAGACATTCCAGTTTCAAAATATATTAAACAATGGCAGGATCATAAGAATAAGTACATGGTTTTCTAAAATAGAAACCTTGAAGGGAACATCATTCATTGGATGTATAAGTGCTAGTATTTTAGTTTGCAAAGTAGCTACACTATTTTCTAATATGCTCTCTCAACATCTTTTTGATGGCCAAACTCATAGAAATAGAAAGTAGAAAGTGGTTGCCAGGGGCTGGGGGGAGGGGTGAAAGGGAGAGTTGTTTCATAGAGAACTGGTTATATGTCGATATGAGTATCCCTAACATTACTGAACTATACTCTAAACAATGGTTAAGATGGTAATTTTATGTTATGTGTATTTTACCACTATTAAAATTGTATGTAATTTAAAAATCAAGTTAGATTAAGTTTAACTCATATAACAACAAAGTAGATAAAAAGTTTAAGAATATATGATTATGAAAAAAGCTACAATATAATTTATTAGTATTTTGTTTCACCGTGTGGAAATTTAAAATTACGCTGATGAAATAATGTGATGTCTTGCACATTCAAAGATGTAATTCTCCACCTCTCTCACCACCCAGTTCCTTTCCTGGAGGGAAGCACAGTTATGTTTCCCACATATCCATCCAGAGGTATTCAGTGCATTTGCACCTTAAGTGGAAGTTTATCCCTTTGTTTTTAACATAAATAAAAGCATGCTACACACAGAGTACTACATTTTCCTTTTTTTATTTATATATTGTAATTCATTGTTCATGAGCTTGTGACAAGTATTTTGAGTTGCTTTTCCACAACGTTGATAGACTGGCGTAATAGACTGGATTCTATTTACTGACGCCTCTTATCATCCACATCATACACAGTTGGCTATGCTAATGCCGAAGGAATAGAATTTTCTGCTTTTTAAAATTAAAGTGCCTCTTCAGAGGCCAATTGACTTTAACTAAATGCTGAAACTAAATGACCTAGCTGATTCAGAAAATAAAAATTTACCTTAAAAGTAGCAAAGGCATCTGAAGCAATATCAAATGTTGACAATTCCACGTACTTAAAGAAATCTCTGAACTGGTTAGAAAACAGGATGATTTTGGCAAGTGGTTCATGTCGAATACATTCTCTCAGCATAATTCCACAACGTAAGGCAATCTGTGGGGCTTCATATCTAAAGGATAAACAAGAGATAAATAGAGAATTCTGTTATCCTATTAACAAAATAATATTAATGATGTCAAAAGAATTGTTTCAATACTGTTATTAATGAAAGCATAGATCCCATTTGCCATAGTTCGTTCAAACGCCATTCATTCAATACCCAGTGAATATCTCTGATGTGTCTGGTACTATTCCAGATGCTGGGGATACGACAGTAAGCATGACAAGGACACTGGCTTCCTAGCATGCATCTTTTAGTGAGAGTATGTCTGGTGGGAGAATAGACAGGCTACAAACAATGAAAAGATAATTTCATATTCTGAGAAGTGCTATGAAACCGACAACAGTAAAATAGGTATATTACAGAGTGTGACTGTGTTCTTAGTTTATTTTACTTTAGATTGAGTGGTCAGGGGATGGACAAAGCATTCCAAGCAAAAGGAGCTAACTGTGCAAAGACCCCAAGGCAAGAACCAGGTTGGTGCGTTAGAGAAGAAGTAAGGCCTCTCTAGGTGGAATGCAGGGGGGAGAGCATTGATGGTGTGAAATAAAGCAGGAGTGGACAGGAGGGCAGGTGCCAGATCACGTTACAGCTCTGTAAGCTAAGGTAAGGAGTTAGGTTTGTAAGTGTAGTAGGAAGCCTTTGGAGAGTTCAAAATAAGAAATTAACATGCCCTAATGTACGCTTTCAAAAGATCACTCTGGCTACCTGTCGAGAATCTATTGTAAAACAGGGAAGGATGGGATGGGGAGCTAGCGTGGAAGCAGACAGACTAGGTAGGAGGGGGAGTGGAAACCCAGCTAGAGATGATGGCGGCTTGGACTGGGACGGTAGTAGTAGAATCCCGACTGTGGGCACATGTTTCGTATTGTTTGGAGGGAGAGTCAACAGGAATTGCTGATGTTGTAGCTAGGGCAGGGTGAGGACTGAAGAATGATTCCTATGTTTTTGGCTTAAATATAATTGGGTAGATGGTGGTTCCATTTATCAAAAATAAACTGGTTGAATAAGAGGTTAGAAATTAAGAAATTAAGAGATTGTTTTCAATCAATGTTAACTCTGAGATGCCTCATATCTAAGTAGAGATATCTCCTTGGCAGTAGAATATATTGCTGTGGAATTCAGAAAAACAACATTAGGGATAGGTATACATATATATGATTTGCATATAATGGATGAGCAATAATTAATAGCTGTGAATTGACTGATTCACTGAAATCATGATGTGGAATTACAGCTCACAGCAAAAACTACACTAGAAAAACACAATGTCTACTGTAGGAAACAATTCAGGACTCGTGTACTAGATCTGTTCCATTTCTAATTTAATTATAACCTTTCAAGTGTCAAATTCAAATTCAGCATTTGAAATAAATCTAGGTTTGAGTTACATTCCAGTGTATGATAAGGTTTCAAGAAAATGAATAATATTTAGCTCAAGTAAGACATGCCCAGTATTGAAATGATACAGTTACAATTGTGTAGTAAATATTGGAAAAATAGGACAAAGGATGACATAATTGTTAAAGACTGGGAAGTGAGTATATGGTAAAGAAAAAATCTTATATCATTTAACATTTCAGTTAAATACAATACTAGTTTTTATGGTTCTAGTACAAAGCCCATTGGAAAAAAAATAACTTTAAATATCTCAATTCTCGAAAAAAGTGCTTTCCTATAATGTTGAGACTAGGAAAAAATGATATTAATGGAGGGCCTATGAATTCAAATTTGCCATGAATTCTTCAAGTTAGAAAAATTCTGATAAAAATATTTTTAAAAGCAATAAAATCCACTAAATGATGAAAACTAAATAAATGAGAACTGAACTAATAAGAAAACTGAATAGGTGAGAAAAATCAAATAATTGAAAACCAAAACCATACCCCCGTACACAAAACTTCAAGATACTACTCACCAAATATAAGTGAAAACATTTTATTGAACAATAAAGAATAATGAAGTATTCTTTAGAATACTGGGGGCGCCAAAGCAATGTATACACATTTTAAGAGATGGTATTTATGCTCAAGCAGTAGTTTGCTGTAATCAGAAGTGTCTAGATGCTGATGGTAACCACTTTGAGCACCTCTTGTAATTGCAGAAGTCAAATGTGACTTGTATTTATCTTTTGATATCAGTATATACTGAGTATTACAATTAATACAGTTTTTTTTCTTTCTTAAAATGTGTATACATTTTTTTGGCACCCTCTGTATTTACATGAAATTCAGGTTCAAGAATAAAATTTCTTTTCCATAATTTAAGAAATAGGAGAATTTAGTTTATAAAATCAAATTTACTGATACAGTAGGGGAAATGGCAAACAAGGATATTTGAGAGAATTCATTAAACCAGGGTAGCATTTATTCATTTTGTCTTGTTTTATGTTGAATAATACTTGTAAATATCATTTGAGTATTCCTTGAATAACTCATATTAACATTAAACACTAATATATTCAGAAAGGCATGATTATTTGAAGAATATAAAAATGCTCATGTATAGTGTTAGAAATTTCTCTTATCAGAAGAATTTCAACATCAGCCTACTGGCACACATGGAAGACTTAAAGGTAGGGAAATATTAAAGGTATTATAAAGAGGGGTATATTTTCTGAAATGTGAAGGAGAAAAACATTGTCATTTCTTTAGAGAGGACTTAAGAGAATATAAACACTGTTGGTTTAGAGAAAGAAACTCAGGGAGAGGTGATTAAAATCCAGAATTACTTGTACGATATTTATTGACTTTCATAATTTAGCCCTAAAGTTAACTTTTCAATTTCATCTCCCATCACATTCCCTAATTCTTTGGAGTACGCTATTCTCTCAACCTAGCAAGTCCTTCTCCTTGTGTTTCCACCTCTATTATTCTTTCTCATCTTTCAAGGCTTAATTCATATGCCAACCCCTCCTTTAAGTCTTTCCTGATCATTCACCATTCGGGATTATTCTCCACCTCCTTCATATTCTTACAACAGCTTGTCTATAATTCCACTAAAGCAGTTTTTTTTTTCCATTCTGTGTTATGATACATTGCAATTAACTTGTTATAAACCTGTTTTCTTCACCTCATTACAAACAGCTTCATTGCTGGGGATAGGTTTTATTTATCTTGTTACCTTATTCTCTTCTCCTTTACCCCATCTCTTATTGTTACCTTCCCCATCCCCACCCCAATCTCCAGGAGCGCCTAGCATGATGTTTTTCATAAAGTAGCCATATAATGAATTTAATGAATTTCAAACTGAGTAAAATTCTTGATACCATGGGACTCTAATGAGACTCAAACTTTGGCTTACACAAAAATCTGTATGATCTATAGCCAACATTTTCTCATTTCTTAATTCAAATTCCAAACGGAGGCTATCTATAAAAAGTTTCTACTCCAGCTTCTGTGTCTAATTGGTTCTCCTTTTCCCTTCATTTGGTGAAGTTTATTGGAACCATCTGTGATGCACTGACTATTCTTGAGAACCAAGAGAACATAAAAAAATATATGCTTCTCTGGGTCACACACTTGTCATTCCACCCCAGCAATTTGTTCCCAAGAGTGGAAGTGTCATTCTCTGAGATAAAAATTTTTTTTTAATAAAAATTTTTTTTTAATTTTATTGGGGATCAGGGGAGGGGAACAGTGTTGAGGAATTGGGGAAGAATAACAGCCAAGTTGTTGTCCTTCAATCTTAGTGTGGAGGGCGCAGCAAGCTCAGCTCCAAGTCCAGTTGGCTCACTAAGCTCAAGGTGCTGTGTTCAATTAGTTGCAGGTGGGCGTAGCCACCATCCCATGTGGGAGTCGAACTGGCAGCCTTGTTGTTAAGAGAACCTGCTCTATCCCCTGAGCCACGCTGGTGGCAGCTCAGCTCAAGGTGCCAAGTTCAGTCTTTAGTTGTGGGAGGGCGTAGTCCACCATCTTGAACAGGCAACCTGTTGTTAGGAGCATGTGCTCTCACCAGCTGAGCCACCTTGCCACCTGTTGGCAACTCAGCAGCAGCTCAACTCGGGCGCAGCTCATTGGTCCATGTGGGAATCGAACCGGCGACCCTGTTGCTCAGAGCTCGCACTCTTATGCAAGCTCTTAACAACCTAAGCCACTTGGCCGGCCCCGAGATGACAATTTCTTAAAGTTAGTAATACATTTATATATATAGGGAAATTCCTAATTTTCCTCACTATTCTTTAAAGGATCTGTAATACACATATACTATATCATTTCAGTCTGACTACCCTCTAGGACAGTGGGTCACAACCTTCCTAATGCCGCGACCCCTTAATACAGTTCCTCATGTTGTGGTGACCCCCAATCATAAAATTATTTTCGTTGCTACTCTATAACTGTAATTTTGCCACTGTTATGAATCGTAATGTAAATATCTGATATGCAGGATGTATTTTCATTGTTACAAATTGAACATAATTAAAGCATAGTGATTAATCACAAAAACAATATGTAATTATATATTGCGAAATATTTATAATTCATGAAGTGTCGTTTTACCTCCAATACTGCTGCTTTCAACACAGCAGCTACTTTCTACACAGTAGCTGCTCTCTACACATGTGTGACTGGTCCGCATAAGTAGTACATTATGGCGCCAACCCTGTCACATACACCGGTATTTGTACGGGGTGTATGCGATGGGGTTGGCTTGATGATGTCATCATGCTGGGTACTCGTATGCGGGTGTATCTGCATGTGGGCAGACCCGCCTGGAGACGGATAGAGGAGCGGTGTCACACATCGAAAATATGTGTTTTCTGACGGGTCTTAGGCAACCCCTGTGAAAGGGTCATTTGACCCCCAAAGGGGTCGCGACCCACAGGTTGAGAACTGCTGCTCTAGGATAGTTTGATAGTTTATTGCCTACAATATAAAAGAGTACTCCACATGTTAAGCCTATCTTAAGTTTCAAATCCCAATAACAATATCACTAGATTTGGTAAGGAATAAATATTTATCTCATTTATCCTATTCTACTTATGGATAAGGTTCCCAAGGGCAGAAACC